TAAAACGTCAGCAAAAGTCTGAATGGGATCAGTTATATCACTGAAACATTCAGGTCGCAGTTTCGATTTACATATTGTTTGATATAAAGACCAGTTAGCCTTCGAAAAGTTCCATCTTGTATACGATGGAGAATCAGATTGAGTTATTTCTGAAAGGATAGTTGGGCAGTGGTCACTTCCAAAAAGGTCATTATGAACAGACCAATCAAATTCATCCAGGAGGTTAGAATCTGCAAGAGACAAATCCAGAGAAGAATAAGTGCCAGTTGCAGGATGCAGATAGGTGCTTGAATCATCATTAAATGTGCACAGGTCATTATTGGAAATGAAATCTTCCAGTATTTTGCCTTTAGTATTAGTGTCAGTACTGCCCCAGAGTGGGTTGTGACCGTTTAGGTCACCCATAATAACACATGGCTTTGGGGGTTGATCATAGAGTGATTGAAGATCAGTCAGCTGAAGGTTCGATGAAGGCGGAATATACAGAGAGCATAACGTAAATGCTACACCCAGAGTAAGTCGCACTGCAACAGCTTGGAGATTAGTGTTAAGTGTAACAGGGCTGTGAATAACATCCTGTCGTATAAGGATAGTAGAACCTCCAGTGGCTCTATCACCTGGAGGGGAAAAATAATGATACGTTTCAAACTGACGTAAGTTAAAATTATCTGTCTGTTTCAGATACGTCTCTTGCAGACAGAACGCTGATGGTGTTAAATCCTGGATTAATAGCTGTATTTCATTAAAATTTGTCCGGAGTCCTCTACAGTTCCACTGCACGAAATTGGTAGATAGACCTATCTTTTAGGCGGATTAATTGGGGATCTACCCCGCAGCGTTTTCGAGGGCGACAAGCTATGTGCCCTAGAATGGACGTTTTCGGACACGTCCATGTCCTCAAGTGATCCGTATTTGTTAAAAAAATTGATAAGATGGTTCAGATTGGATTTGGGGCGTACCAGGAAGTGGTTCTGCAGTTTGTGTAGAAATTGCAGGTGACAAAATCTGAGGAGTAGACATAGCAGGTGACAAAATCTTAGGAGAATCGGTTTTGAGCCAGTTTAAATTCGTCTGACAGCTTACAGACGATTGGGCTATTGGAGCAGTGGAATCAGACGATGTTTTGGCCATGGATGCATAGGTTTCCTTTATTTCAGATCGTAAGATTTTTGGCATCAGTAAAACTAATGTTTTGAGTGAACTTGATCTTATTGATCTCCATCTGCTGTTTCCAGATCGGACAATCTTTTGAGAATGATGAGTCATTGCCTGCACAGTTGGTACAATTCTTAAAGTCACTGTCACAATCTTCTGTTGTATGACTCTTCTCACCACAGTGAGCACACACAACAGACAATGTGCAAGTACTAACACCATGACCAAACTTCTGGCATTTAAAACACCTTAAAGGATTTGGTATGTAGGTGTCAACATTAATGTGACAATATCCTGCCTTTACTGATCTGGGAGCATTTGGAGAGGAAAACGAAAACAGGTACGTGTTAGTCTGAATGGTTTCCTGGTTTTTAAGGGTTGTAAAACGCTTAACGTATGTGACCCCTTGATCTTTCATTTCTGAAACAATATCAAGTTCTATCTCTGATGATTCCTTTGCTGGTGTTCAGTGTTCTGTGAGGAGATACTGATACTGTAATGCCGACGAATGTTTCAGTAGTCATCAGGTTAGTAGCCTGCTGTCTTTTGCTGCACTCAACGAGTAATGCACCTGAACGTAAACGTTTGATATTTTTAACGTCACCGGAAATGCCTTGTATGCCTTTCTGTATTGCAAAAGGGTTCAATTTTAATCTCGTGCTATCTTGAGTCTCCATCACGAGAAAACGTGGCCAGTAATCAATGGATGTGGACAGTCGTTGGTCGTTACCATCTGGATCAGTGTCAAGTGGACGTTTTGTTTTTTTAAGGGGTTTCGTATGCCATGGTTAGTTTTTAATGGTTCATCATCCGAGCTCCCCACCCACCACGGAGTATCACAAGGACAATGCTAAAACAAGCGGGTCTCCGACTTGCAGCACCAAGGATACCCGGATGAAATACTCCAGCAGAAAAATTAAAAGATTAATGATTCCACCAGATTGGCCCATGAGCCACCGCCTTCTGGGCATACGACTCTAGGTAAAAACATACATGGAATTGTGCAGTTGAAATTCAAAAATTCAAAGTTCAAAAATTTGCCAAGACTTAAAAATATCACCTAATAATTCTCAAATTTTGTGCAACATTTTACAGTTGTAGCACAGGGCTTGGCATGACCAGCCGATTGATAGAACCGGGCCAGTTCTACCACCCGTCTAGGCGAAGTAAGGGGCAAAGTGGTGTGTTGGGCAAAGGAACGCTGTTCCTGGAACCAGTGCCCTCAACCACCAGACTCCCGTCCTCCACCGACACAGGGGCGCAACCCACGGCCAACAGGTTGGTGGACCAAATATACCCCCGGGTCCACAGCGGGGGGTTGAAGAGCGTTTAGCGTTACCCACCACCCACCGCGAGGAGGTGGCTCTTCACGGGTGCCACGTTCTTTAAGAAAATTCAGAAAACATAAATCAAACGAAACAAGAAGCATGTATTGCAAACTAAGGAATGGTTATAAAAATATTTGTAGAAAATCAAAGGCCATGTTTAAGCTCAAAAGTAGAAATAGATTAAATGCAACATTTTCGGATCCAAAATCATTTTGGAAAGAGCTCCGATCCATCTCTGGAGGAAAAAAAGGCACAACGTCAGATCGACAAAGACATATGGCTTGATCATTTCAACATGTTTTTTAATAGAACTGTGCCCAGTGATACAGTAACGTTGAAATGTCTAGATGTTAAGGATTGTGTTGATGATATTGATGCAACTATTCTTGAATGTGATTTCACTGATTCTGAAATTATATTAGCCTTAGATCATTTAAAAAGAGGTAAATTTCCAGGTAATGACTGTATAATTGTAGAGATGCTTACATGTTCTACACATATTATTTTACCATTTCTCAGAAAACTTTTTAATACATTGTTTCTAAAAGGTGTTTTCCCTGAAAACTGGACTAAAGCAATTATAATTCCCATACATAAAAAGGATGAACGATGTAATCCCGATAATTACAGAGGGATTTCCCTTTTAAGTGTACTCAGCAAAATATATACACGGTTTCTTCATACCAGGCTTACAACTTGGGCTACGATATTAAAGAGATAAAATACCTGAATTTCAAGCCGGCTTTAGGAAAGAGTATTCTACAACTAATCACGTTTTCACCTTAAATGCAATAATTCAGAAATGTTTATCAAGAAAAAAGGAGAAATTATATGTTGCCTTCGTAGATGTTAAGAAAGCTTTCGATTCCGTCTCACGATATAAACTTTGGAATTGTCTTCGAAACTCTTGATTAATGGCAAAATGTTAGCTGCAATAAAAAGTATATATGTATCCGTTAAAGCATGTGTAAGATGCAACGATAATGTTCACAAAGATTGCCCAGTCGGTCTAAGACAAGGGTGTATTTTAAGTCCACTTCTTTTTTCCTTTTTTGATTGGTTAATTGTGTACTGATATTGTAGAAAGTAGTAAATTTGGTGTAGAGCTGTTTCCTGATTTTTTTTAGAGATATTGCTATTACTTTTTGCAGATGATGTCATTCTCATATCTGACGTTGCTTCAGGACTACAAAAACAATTCAATATTTTAGAATCATATTCTGATAAATGGGGACTTGAAGTTAACCTCGATCAATCCAAATATTGTTGTTTTTTAGAAGGGGTAGGCGATTATCAGCTAAAGAATAATGGTATTATAAAGACTCTGTTATTGATGTTGTGATTTCATATAGATATCTTTGTAGTATATTTTCATCAACGTTGAAAATGAATAAATGTATAGACGATCTAGCACTGAGAGGAAAAATAGCATTATTACAAATATTATATAAGTTAACAAAATATTTGATTCACAAATTCAACCAATTTTACTTTATGGTGCATAAAGTATGGGGTTAACCGCTATGAGAATACTGAAAAAGTTCATTTTGCTTGCATGTAAGAGATTTCTTAATGTAATATTACAAACGCCTAATGTTATAATATAAGTATATAAATGCCTCATGTCGAGTTATTAAAAATGGTTAAACCTTTCAGAAATGCACTCTGGTAGAATACCCAAAAAATCATATGACATGTCAGTATATCTGGATAACCTTGGGCATAATAATTATGCTGCTCATATTCGTAATATACTTTTTCACTTGGATTTGGCTTTGTATGGTCAGTACAAAGTGAAGGCAATAAGGTTGTTTTTCTTAGACGTTTTAAAGAGGCATGTGTAAATATGTTTTACCAATCTTGGCATTGTACTCTTGACAGCAGTTCACGCTACAATTTGTATAGAGAGTGTAAGTGTTTGCTAGAACCTGAAAAATATCTAAGTGTTATACATGAAATACCGAGCAGGCCTATTACGATTAAAAATAAATGGAGGAATAAGATTAAGGTTGAATATTGATGCATCCCTACGCACATGTCCTGTTTGTAAATACGGTATAGAGGATGAATTCCATTTTCTTTTAGTATGCAAATATTATTCTGAAGAAAGATTACTTTATTTTCCACATGTCTACAACCGAATTCCAAATATATTTATATTCAAAAGCCTGTTAACTTCCGCTTCAAATGAAGCATTATTAAATTTATGCAAATTCATATATACTGCTTATAAAAAGAGACATACTTAATTGTTTTACGTCATGTTTCCAATATATTATGATTGTAGATATGTTATATGTATATGGGCCGGTGGCCTTCATGCATAATAATGATCTTTTCTTTTCTTTTTTGGACCACATTTTGAAGTATGGACAATTTGCTAAGTGCAACCTGGTTTCACACACCAAACCTTGCATTCACAGCATGTTTCAGTACAAACACATGGTAGCTCGGCGCAACCTGGTTTTGCAAACCAATGACATATGTTTTGAGAAATCACGAAAGCGTGGTGTGACATTTACGTTCGTGTGGCGGCCTCTGTAACACATTCATCAGTTAGATGATGCTTCCGCGTGACAGTTCCCGTGACCGGCAACATGTAAATATAGGTCAGCATAAAAGGAGGCGAAGTTGCTGGGGAAGAATTCATGTTTACTGGATACGCGACTAGACAGTTTTGGAGATATAACTGTAAGTTGTATGTATTAGTTCATAGATGCATGTTGATATGCTATATAAATGTATATCATCACTCGACATAACGCCAGTTGCAGACGCTTTTATTTTCTATCGCTATTTCTTCATTAAGATCTATTTCATACGTTTTAATGAAATGAAAGGGTTTGTGCCCAAATGCACTAAGTGTTTCTTTGATTTAGGTCTCCATGCACTGAACGTAACTCGTGTAGCTTAACTCAGTATCCAGTGAAAGCCTTCGCCTAAACTGCTAGTGCGTCTCAGTTATCGCTGTCATGTTTAAATATACTTGTTACATTTATCTGCATTTAAAACATGTTTATCTCATATACTCATTATCTCATTTGTTATAGCATACTACGTGCACATAAATAAACAGAATCTGTCATTTGAATATAATACCGTATATATATTAAAATTAACCTACAAAGGAAATGAAAAAGAGTATGCACGAACGTATATTCATTTGGAACACAAATGATAGCGACGCATTTATGAAAGCTTTAACCTTTTTGTAATTTCATTTTGATGATTCAGGATTATTTCAAGAAGATGAATTCAGCTGCAAAACGATGGATACTGGTGGTTGTCATTGTGGGTGCGTTCACCTTTATTATTGGGGTGTTGATTGGTGTGTTTGCGCCAGCAAGGCCCCCCACGGACGATACACTGAGGCGGTTGACACGAGAAGCTGAAGAAGGCATCAGTCAGCGATTGATCAGTGAGGTGGACCCTTCAAACATTGACAAACATCTCAAGTAAGTACTTCAGTAATTGCACCTGCTATTAGATATGCTGGTATGTCGAAAGGTTCCATTCAGAACAACACAACCAATTCAAGACCTCGCTTCAAGATTAAATAACGACATCGTTATACGACTATATCCTAAGAATGTCTTCATCAATCACCATGAAAATTTGATGATACTAGGCGAAAGCAGGTCATGACATTTCATTACCAGTGGAACAAGTGACACACATATGCTAGGGCAAGTAAATGACTCGCCAGTAAAAGCACAGAACATTGTACGATTCGAAATACGTCTTTCTGGTCAACGATACTGCCCACCACGTCTCCCAGCCACAAAGCATTTCGAAAACCTTGCTTTGGCCTTAAATACTCTGTAATCCTGACCAAACAGCCTTGGAGCAAGATTTATGAAAACCATACCTGGGTACCTTCCTCCCTTCCTTCCTTCCTTCCTTCCTTCCTTCCTTCCTTCCTTCCTTCCTTCCTTCCTTCCTTCATTCATTCATTCATTCATTCATTCATTCATTCATTCATTCATTCATTCATTCATTCATTCATTCATTCATTCATTCATGTAAAGGAACTGACCAGGCGTCTTCACCTAGCTGGTAGGCCAACCAGACATTCAACATGGGGTTTCAATTTATGGTTGCCTGGAGATTGTACAGAAGTGGCTCAATGCTAAAAACTACAGATGAAAAATTTAATTTACCTTTCCATTCAAATTTGAAACCATGTCCATTGTCCGTCCTTGTCACCAACATACTTAAAGGGAGTTGACGAGGCGTCCTCATCTTGCTGGCGAGCCGGGTAACTACCGTACGGCAGAGTACGTCAGGGATCAGTGGCTAGAACAAGGATACGACGTACAGATGGTGCCGTATGACGTACTCCTGTCATACCCGGATGACAACCACAATAACACGGTACACTTTCAAGACTTGTACCTATATACTATTATAATGTTTTGCTGTTCTGGAGTGATAATGTACTGTGGTATTGCTTTACCGTTAAAATATATTTTGAGAAATATTGTTTAGAAATATCGATAAATGTAAACTGCTTTCTTAGATGAAATAATTCAATAATCAATGAACATAAGCTAACACACCTAGGCTACCCTCACTGCACCAAATGGAAGGGAGCTGTTCCAGTCAACGCCGAGAGAGATAGCCTTCTCTGACGAGGAGACTCACCCTGAAGCAGTCCAACCTTACAACGCTTTCTCCCCCAGCGGACAACCACAGGTGATGATATATCTATATGCCCAGCTCTGACAAGTTCTAATGTTCTACAGGTGTCAGACAAGGACTCCAACCTCCCCCTTTGTTTTTGTCAATCTTGATTTCATGACCAGGGGGGGGGTAAACATTTAACGTGGATATATTCTGGTGATATTTTTTCACTAAGTGATGAATATATCAAGCTGTAGAAATGATTCCACATATTTAACAACTATTATGTAGTATAGTATAGAGATAAACGTGAATAAACATGTATTGCATTTAGATATTAGAGAAGTAGACTATAACAATAATGTCCGTATAAGACAACGCCAAGATAGGTAAGTAGCTACACCGTCGAGTGAAATGAAATGAGAAAATATACTTCAACTGATTAACGTTTTCATACGTTTTCATCCGAAGTATAAAACCGCTCAGAATATGTGTTTCAGTTTAAACAGTTTCATGTGCATGTTAAGTAAACAGATGAATAGCATGCTATACAATCAATCACGAGTAAAGCTTTAAGATGCTGGTCCTGTGTTAGATTGATGAGAAAATATGCATTTTCAGGGCTTCACAGTTTCTGAATTCTACCTTGACTTTTGACATTGAAGATGTGCTTACACACGAATTTTTTGTGCGAAATAGATTGCAGAATACATTGTTGCAATGATATACCTGGTCTATTGCATTTCTCTGCCAAAATAGAAAAATATACCATGGAATGCATTTTGGAAAAGTAAACTCTATGGTGTTTTTCTGATGCCAAATATTTGGGGGTTGTTGACTAATGTACTTGGCAGTTAAGAATGATGGAGAATTATACTGAATTTCAAGCAAGAATAGATATAAATCAGATTGGTTTGAACTTCACTTCGGTCTTGTTCGATGTGGAAAGAGCAGTGGTACACGCTACATAACATTCACGTATGTTTGTTTTCTAAACATATCCATAATCAGTTTTATCCATTGATGTACTCTTTCCACAACACCCTTGTTTACCACTGAAACACTAAGAAATGTTGCCTGAGACTTTCAAGACCAGAAACATTGATTTTGAAACAGAGATTCCAGCCTTTTCAGCGTTAACAAATACAGTTCACCATCCCTCTGGTAGACCTGTCATAGTTTAACACCACGAACAACTGGTCTAGAAAGGACATGTCAAATTTGAATATTTAGTTTCACTATGAACAATATGGCCTATGCTCACAAGGCTGGCAGTCTTTATGTTCCCTTCTTTCGAACTGGAAAAGGCTTATATTTCAAACATTACGAGAAACTATATATAACCCAAGATGAATGTCAAGATGAATGTCAAATATATACATAATAAAATATGTTAGCCCCTGCTGCATATTAAATATAGCGTATGTTTAAAAGGCTGACAGCTTGTCTTTGTCTTCCCTTCAGTTGCTATATTGGGCCTATATGAACAGGAAATCCTGATATTTCAAACATTAAGAGTGAGTGGGTGAGTTTAGTTTTACGCCGCTTTTAGCAATATTCCAGCAATATCACGGTCGGGGACACCAGAAATGGGCTTCACACATTGTACCCATCAAACATTAAGAGAAACTATAACCCAACATGAATTTCAAATGTATATAATGTATGATGTAACCCTGCTAATATTATACGGACTTGCTATTGATTGATTTGATTTGATGTCATATTTGTTATCAAAGAGAGTGTTGACTTGGATTCTAATTTCTTTCTTCTTTCAATGCGATGTTTGGTACAGATACAAAATCCATGTTTAATCTTTTTTATATGACAACTTCTCTGTAACTATTCACTGTCATTCACCTGATGAAGGAGCAAGTATTAGCCCAGAAACGTCGTGTGTAAATAATAAAGAGTTGCACATCCATATCAAGTGTGTTGTATTAACTTCTAAAAAGTAATTCAAAAATATTGTCATTGTTTGCTGCAATACCGATAGATACCTTTTCTGCGACAGTTATTGGAACCCTATTTCTTATTCAGGCAGAACTTGTGTATGTAAACTACGGTCGAGATGTTGACTTCGAGAACCTCACCCGCCTAGGTGTGAGTGTCTCAGGCAAGATCGCCATTGCTCGGTATGGAAAGATATTTCGAGGGAATAAGGTGAGTTCATGGCACCGTTTCAGGACGTACATTTATACAGTCGTACATCTTGGATACTTATAAATCTACATTATATTGTTTAATTACAATTATAATACCTCACATGTGATCTCAGGTTATCGGGTTTTCAGGTATATTTCGCTCATCAATATGGCGCCGTTGGAATCATCATGACACCGTTTCAGGACATACAGTTATACAGTCGTACATCTTAAATACATATAAATCTACATTATATTGTTAATTACAATTATAATACCACACATGTGATCTTAGGTTATCGGGTTTTCAGGTATATTTCGCTCATCAATATGGCGCCGTTGGAATCATCATGACACCGTTTCAGGACATACAGTTATACAGTCGTACATCTTAAATACATATAAATCTACATTATATTGTTAATTACAATTATAATACCACACATGTGATCTTAGGTTATCGGGTTTTCAGGTATATTTCGCTCATCAATATGGCGCCGTTGGAATCATCCTATTCATGGATCCGGGGGATTTTGCCAAGGGAGACAACTTTTACCCAGAGAGCATGTGGCTTCCTCCGACAGGAGTTCAAAGGGGAAATATTGTCGTGATCAAGGGCGACCAGGCTACACCTGGATATCCTGCTACATGTAGGTCTTTCCACACTATTAAATATTTCCACCCTTGTGTATACCACTACTTGGTGCACAGTGGGTATACTTTGTGAAACTGGTGATAGAAAAGACGGACGTTATTATGTATTGCCTGCCATGGTCTTGCCTTTACAATTAATGTGTACTGCACGAACACGTGCCTGTTGTGTTACACCATCAGGGAGCTACACGATATAGTCAGGCTGACAACGGCAGTATTTTACTCCGTTATAAACATAACACTAATAGGAATGTAATCATGCCCTGAAAGATGTTTCTGGCGCTACACATCTGAAAGGTTCGGGTAATGTCCATACGTATATGAATAGTTGGATATACTTATAAGACACTGCCTCATCCACTTTTCATAAAGGCAATAACTAATACCCAATTTCATTAATGACATGTTTTCCTTATACACAGATGTTGTAGAGGGGTTGAAATAGTCCCAAATGAAGTCATCAAACACCTGGTTGACCTCATTTCACAGGGGTCAATGACCTTGTACTGAGCTGACCTAGGAAATCAGGGTCATGGGTGTCCGTCGTTGGTCTCGGGGGTTAATGACCGCGCGCCTCGTGGGGAAACGGATGACATATCATAGAATTACACCATGACATCACGCCATTAATTTGGACCAATCAGCGTAGAGCAGCTATCGATCTCACTGGACCACTGACCACAAACTTGTTTCATCCGGTTTCAATTCTACCTATATAAACCCCTTCTGACAGTGAGTTGAGGTTATCACTAACTACATGTCTTTTTACAAAATGTTTATATTTTCCATACTCAATAACCTTTTCTGTCGCCTGTTGAGAAAACCTGTTATATCTCAAATATCAAAGCGTGCGCCGTTGAGGCATGGTGAATTAAACTGGCTGCCTCCACACACGTCCCTCGTCTCACTCAGCCAAGGTGCAATATGATACCTCCTCAAGTTGTATTCAAAATCGTTGGTCTAACATTAGCCTGTCTCACGGTCCCTGAACCATATTATTTCCCTACAGTCTAGACCTCCCTGCAGTGCTAAGGCTCTAAATGAAGTCTAGATTTCCCCCAAGGTCTTCCGGGACTCCTTTTCAGTTTAAATAGGTTTGTTTGTTACTATCCAAATTATCCAGCTTCAGGATGGGAAAACCACATTAACTTGGTGCGCCTAGTGGCAGCAAGATGCTCCCCAGGGAATTGAGAATGGTAATATGGCTGTGATTGACATCCAAGGAAAAATTTACCAGCGCTTTGAGCATGCATGCGGGCTGGACTATAGTGCTACATAAATACCCATATAATAATAATATATACCAGTGCGTTGTCATGCATACATTTATGATTACTCTTCCATGCTAACACTTTACAATTACATCCCATTCCTGATGGAATTTTAGATGAATTCCATGAAAGTTGCATTCCTAAATATGATGTACAATCTCAATGACGAGAACACACATTTCTACAGTCAAAGCTGACACGCCCTAGCTAGAGTTCATTCTAACGAGCATGTATCATTTCTTTTTATGGATGTTTTTGGTTCTAAAATACATCAAGTATTGTCTTATCATGATGCATTCATTCAATACAAAATCATACTATTTAGTTTGAAAGTAGGGAGTAATTCATGGGCTGATCATCATATTAACATAGGTTGTTTACACTCGCGAGAAATCTCCAGGCTAACTGTCGACAGAAACTTCCCTCCCCCTGCCACAGCAGTGCCCCCACCCCTCATCCCTCCCCTCCACTGACCCCCTGCCACATCATAGTCCCACATACGCAAATGTCGGTCACCAGATTGCGTCTCTGCTAGCACTGTGAGAGAGCGCTTTGTACGACACAATCCCAAATATAACATATGTTACATTTACATGGAAGTGTATATCAGTCTCATGTTTTTTGGTGGTTGATCAATACAATCACAAAAATATGGGATTTTGGTATAACACTTCAATATCATCCTTGAACCAACACCCACCCCCACCCAACCCCCCACACCCATTGGATACACTGGAATAGTATGGAATTTAAAACAATCACAAACATATGTTGGAATTAAAAGGCAGGATACAATGACAATATGGATTGGATATTCAAATATGGAATGTGAATAGCGGTAAGTTTGAAATACATTTGAAATTCTATTTCGTTGGGTTGCATTGAACAAATGTGTTATAAAACCCTTGAACTGAACCCGTATAATTTCTTTTACATATATGTGCGCACATGTTAGACTAGACTAACGTTTAGTCTCTGAATATATAATTTGCATAGTAACAAACAAACCTATTTACATTGAAAAGGAGTCCCGGAAGACCTTGGGGGAAATCTAGACTTCATTTAGAGCCTTAGCACTGCAGGGAGGTCTAGACTGTAGGGAAATAATATGGTTCAGGGACCGTGAGACAGGCTAATGTTAGACCAACGATTTTGAATACAACTTGAGGAGGTATCATATTGCACCTTGGCTGAGTGAGACGAGGGACGTGTGTGGAGGCAGCCAGTTTAATTCACCATGCCTCAACGGCGCACGCTTTGATATTTGAGATATAACAGGTTTTCTCAACAGGCGACAGAAAAGGTTATTGAGTATGGAAAATATAAACATTTTGTAAAAAGACATGTAGTTAGTGCATGATAACCTCAACTCACTGTCAGAAGGGGTTTATATAGGTAGAATTGAAACCGGATGAAACAAGTTTGTGGTCAGTGGTCCAGTGAGATCGATAGCTGCTCTACGCTGATTGGTCCAAATTAATGGCGTGATGTCATGGTGTGATGCTATGATGTGTCATGCGTTTCCCAAGGGGGGGCACGCTGTTATTAATCCCTCGAGACCAACGACGGACACCCATGACCCTGATTTCTTAGGGTCAGCTCAGTACAAGGTCATTGATCCCTGTGATATGAGAGGTCAACCAGGTGTTCGATGATGACGTCATTTGGGACTATACCCGCTGTTCTCCAAGGTCATTGACCCTGTGAAATGAGATCAACTAGGTGTTTGATGACGTCATTTGGGACTATTTCAACCCCTCTACAAAACACAGATGCAATTAGTGGATGAGATACTTTGTAGTTTTAAATGACAAATGAAATGTATTTGGATATACTCTGATATAATCAACATTTTCCATTCTGTACAACGATGCATCATGAAAGAAAAATGCAACTAAAGTTGCATGAGATCCTACTCCACATTTAGCTTATTGGAATTGGATTAGGTTCCTGAAAGTTCTTGAACGGCATTTAGAAGTTGGACAACATGAAAACATGAATTTATGGATAACAACTTCTATTTATTCTTTGCACGACGCTTCAGTGCTAATTCTTGCCCCTTCAACTGGAATTGTTTTAAAAGTATATCATCACGTTATACTGACTCTTCCTCAACTGTGAATGGGACACATTGCTGTCTATGTTTGACAATATATAACGTTTAACTTGCATTTTGTAATTCTAATTGTTTCAGGATTCAGTATGTGGGTAAAATTAACCTCAGTTCAAACATTGCCATTATCATGTTTGTCTCTTGACAAACTGACCTGTAAAATTCACAAAAACACAAACTAATTTGATCAGTTTATTATCACACAGGGTACACATCACGGCTTACTGAGGAGGAGGTGAAAATGAGGATGCCCCAAATCCCCTGCCACCCCATCGGCTACAGTGACGCCTTTATGCTGCTCAGGTACCAACGTCTCCCGTTTCTTGGTTAGAATTCGTGGCATGTACCTTCCACGGTAGCGTTATATGCCACGTGTAGCAAGTCCTTTGGTAAGACAATTCATGGTTATGTTTTGCGAGGTCTTCCCACGACGACGGGGAACTGTGCATGCAAGGCAGCTTGAGTGTGGATGACAACTGATTGGACCGAATAGGTCTAATCCAATTTTGTTTCCTCTGTTACAATTTTGTGCCTGTTATCACTGAACCACCGAAACCCACATTTAAACTCTCCTTTGGAACATTTTCCGCATATGATGCCACCATATTGAACATAATTCTTTTCACAGTACTTGACGTGAAATTTCATTAACTGACAACAGTTGTTATTTTCTTTGAATACAAAAGCAGGAAATGGCTATTTGAAATGTTATAACTGGTATACAGGAAGCTTAAGTTAAACATTTATTCATATTCCACCTATCTGTAACATATCTTATATTTGGGCTTACACTCTCTTAGTAAAGTACAGATAATAGTACTTTTGTTGGGTTGAGTCCCACCCGGTATTCGAACCCACATGTACACCTTCAGAGCCAGGCACCTAACCCGCTCAGCCACCGTGACTTCCACAAAAATGGAAGTCGGACAACTGGTCCGATATATAACATATGTTACATTTGACCAGTTCCTAAATGGCATTGTGTAATCCATCTATCTGATTGAGCTAGTCCAAACAGAATTTCTGATTCAAATGCATAAATAAGAGCGACAAACTCTTTCCACATCTACAAGTAATATCTGCTAAATGCGGAAGCCGATCGTACAATGGCAACTGCATCAGGCGATGTGTTTATGGATCACAATCAAATAGTGAATACCAGGTGCTTGCCAGAGAATAATGAGCTCGATCATCCGCCTATACGAATTCCTTACGTTGCTAAAGAAAACATAATGGTTCAAAAATAACGGAACAGCCGATAATCAACAGTAGTTTATCATTGTGCGCTAACTAAGTATTATATTGCACTTCTCACTAAATACACATTTGATCTGACATGTTTCTAGGGAAATGGAGGGAGATGCAGCTCCAGCCGACTGGCAAGGAGGACTTAACATCACCTACAGACTTGGTGGAACTATGAAGGATGGCAAGTAAGTGTATCACTCAACATCACCAACAGACTTGGTGGAACTATGAAGGATGGCAAGTAAGTGTATCACTCAACATCACCTACAGACTTGGTGGAACTATGAAGGATGGCAAGTAAGTGTGTCTCTCAACATCACCTACAGACTTGGTGGAACTATGAAGGATGGCAAGTAAGTGTATCTCTCAACATCACCTACAGACTTGTTGGAACTATGAAGGATGGCAAGTAAGTGTATCTCTCAACATCACCTACAGACTTGGTGGAACTATGAAGGATGACAAGTAAGTGTATCTCCCAACATCACCAACAGACTTGTTGGAACTATGAAGGATGGCAAGTAAGTGTATCTCTCAACATCACCTACAGACTTGTTGGAACTATGAAGGATGACAAGTAAGTGTATCTCTCAACATCTCCTACTGACATGGTAACGATTGATTAACAGGTTCTTAAAGTAACATGTGCGCATTCACAATGACAAATCTTGATTAAAACAAGCTATACTTTAATGAGGTGAAATGTTCAATATGTTTCAGACGTGTCAAGCTGGATGTCAGGAATCACCTCAAGACGGTTACAATCTATAACGTTTTGGCCAAATTAGAAGGAACAATTGAAAATGGTGAGTATTGTCACATCAATCTGGAAACTTACACCTGAAACATCCTAATTCATCTCATGTTCATTATTACCTGTATGACGTGATAAAGGTTACCTGTGTTACATAAGCTATGTGGCTTAAATATACAATGTACATGCTCTTAGCACCTGGGCAATTGAGAAATGTAGACAAGTTTCAAGTGAAGTATTGAAGATAAGAGGACGTAGTACCATTTGGATTTAAAAACAACAAAGGATACGAAGATCTGGTATCAATATTTTTGTAATGATCTACAAACAATGGTTCATGATAGAAATCGTACTACAGATTCTGATTTTATCATGGATTTCTCATGAATATGTCAAAGCTTTTTTAGCTTAATCTATCGTTTATTTAATATTCCCAGACCGTGTTGTGTTGGTTGGTAACCATAGAGACGCATGGGTGTATGGTGGAACAGATCCTTCTTCCGGAACCGCTGCCCTTTTGGAAATGTCCAGAGTTTACGCCAAGCAGGTGAAAAATGGTACTGGTAATGTTATATGCTCGTACTGCTCATTGAAAATGAGTGTTTTCTACTGATTAGAATGGGCATTCCAAATCAGCACATTTCATTACTGCAACCTTGGCGTATTGACAGGGGCTAACGAGACTTCGTGTGAGTGTTAAGATAACATCATAAGCCGATGAGTTGTTAGAATGAGCGGATTGTAATGTACTTTTCTCTACTGATCCATGCTTACTCAATCTTACAGTCCAACAATCACCATAACGCACTCTAAACTACCATATCTCTCTATAGTCCACATGATTTTCTATCACTGAGGTGTATTGCAGCCAGATGTATCCGAATTCAACATGTTATGTATTTGGCAGGCTGGAAGCCACGACGGTCGGTCATTTTCTGCAGCTGGGACGCGGAGGAATTTGGTCTTGTTGGGTCGTACGAGTGGGTGGAGGTGAGCATGTTCTGAACAAAACCGTGAGAGGTAATTATGAACATGTTCTTGGACAAAACTGAGGAGATAAATGTGTGGGCATGTTGTAGACAATATTTGATCTGGAGGGATGGGAAATCTGGTTTGACTTGGCAGATGGTTTCCCTGTGATCATTCGTCATTGCAATAGATGCGCAAAAATCCAAGCAGTTGACGACAGAACACTTTAACATTCTTGATTAACGTACGAAGACTTTTCTTAAATGTTTTCTGGTGTTCAAGGTGGCAACATGCTTTGATAGTTAAAAAGACCAGGTTTATTTCAAAAGAATTTCTGTTATGCGTTCAGGTTAGATTGGTGTCATTTAAAGTATGTTCATCTTATTCACACATTCAATTGCAGGAAAATATTAAATGGCTCCAGAGCCAAGCGGTTGCCTATATCAACATTGACCTTATTACAATTGGTACGTCATGTTCGTTTGTTTCTCGCATTGATAGAGACAGCTCTGCCTGTTTAACGTTTATACCACAGTAAAACAGATAAATAACCGACATACACACATGAATCTAAAGCAACCTTTAAAATCTCACTTCCAAGAGACCTTGTGACAGTAACAGCCTGTTGGCGTATGCCATGTCCTCTCAACAAGAAATGGATTCCTGAATGGTGACCAGAGTTAAACACAGTAGCAAAGCACGGTTACGTGTTGTGGGTGAACCCTGGACAGGGGCGGAACCACCCCTCTGGATCCGCCTTTGCTGGAGATAGTTTTCTGGACATACAATATATTTTGTTAAATATTATGCAATATATGCGACTTGTCGGTATAGATGCTAACGTGATGATAATTATTTTACTGATGTTACCATCTCCACAGAAACGTTGCCTATATTATAATAAAGAAGTTGTATATCCATACAATTATCTCCCTTGTTCATCACACCAACTTCAAAATATCACTCAGAGAAGTACATGATGGCTGTCTAATCAGACACCTTGTCGACATTCAATGACGGTGTTATTGAGTTGCCTTTTTGGGTATCAAAATGGTCATTAAAATTATCAATGGTGACCTTAAACCACTGGCTGAAAAAACACGTTAGCTGGACGTTTACACCTCATCATGGTACATTGTAGCCTTGAGTGAATAAAGTTCACATCCAACACATGCATCCCACGTGGCACCATCCCGCTAGCAAGAGGTAGTCAGTCAGTTGCACCCCGAGGACAAGAAGGATTATAATCAGAAGATGGTTTCCATATTCGGAGTAGCATCATTTGTACGACTTACAATAGCAACTTTGCATTCTTGTGATCATGTAATCAAGACTTTAGGTCTTTAAGTTTGTTATTGATATATTTTAGATCTTTAAGCTTATTATTGATGCATTTTAAAGCTTTTAGTTTATCATTGATATATTGTAGGTTTTTAAGTTTATTATTGATATATTTTAGATCTTTTAGTTTATTATTGACACAGCCATACATTCTGAAATTTAAACAACTTGTACAGATCGTCTAATATATTACCCCGTGGATCTGGGTATTTCAGGAAACTACACCTTGAACCTGAAAGCTACACCAACCTTGAAACAGGCAGTTTACCGAGCAGCGAGAAAGGTATCATATATCCTCCATGTGGAGTTAGTCACTCTAGTGTAAGTGTAGCTTCCAGGAAGACGACATGTTGGTGATGAATGCGTAACAAGTGATATCAGTCATGTTCCTTCAATGCTGATGAAGGTTCGCATTCCCATAAGGTTTATGTAGCCGCCATATAGCTGGAATATTGCTGAGTGCGGCGTAAAACAAAACTCACTCACTCACGTATGTTCTGTGTGTGTGTTTCGTGTGTGTGTGTGTTTTTGTTGTTATTTTTGTTTTGGTTTTGGGGTTGTTGTTTTTGTTTTTTGTTTTTGTTTTTGTTGTTTTGTTTTGTGTTTGTTTTGTTTGTTTGTTTGTTTGTTTGGGGTGGGGGTGGGGTGGGGGTGGTTATTGTATTTTACTTGACCACAAGTACACACTGCTTGTTTGATGTACTTACTCAACACGTTGTAATGCAATCTGACATGTTTCACAAAATGCTTCCAGACTTGCAGTGTTACGGTTCAATATTTTCACACATCTCCATCCCATCAGGTCCCTGATGCCCATATGGACGGGAGGACGTTATTTGATGTGTGGCGTGAGCGCAATCCCGACGCCCTGGACAAGGCGTATCCTCGGTAAGTGCAAGCAAGGAAGTGATACACGTATGACGAAATTATAGAACAGAAAACTGGTATTGTTATTGTATTATGGTATTGATAATTCTTTGCAAACTAATGTGCGAAACCAACAAATGAACGGTAATATTTTTATTTATTTATTGATTTTATTTTATTTTATTTTATTTTATTTTATTTTATTTTATTTTATTTTATTTTATTTTATTTTATTTTTTTTTTTTTTTTTTTTGGCTTGGTTTGTTGGGGTTTTTCTTTGGCTTTTGTTTTGCATATTTATTTTTTTATTTTTTTATTTTTTATTTTTGGGGGCGGGTATCGGGGATGCATTTACTCTTTTCTGTCTTGCATTTTACATATTATTAATAATTAATACAATATCACAACAGTGCGACTGAGCGGCTATATGTTCAAATGTTCCTGTGTGGTTTTGTGTGCTATCCATTGTTTAAGGCCTGGTTTTGCAGTGTTACCCTCCCAGGCGCTGGATCAGACTTTTGCCGTTTGAACAAGATGTAGGCATCCCTACAACTGAGGGCAGTTATGTATACGTGGTGAGATGAAAGGCTTCTTTGAAATATAACATATTGACTTACTGGATATTTGTATGTCGTAAACTTTACCATGAGTCCAACCGGTAGCGTTAGACGTTCACCGGGTAAGAACACCTGGTGTTACATCATTGCCTGTACATAACAGTGTATCGTGAATGTAGATTCGCTGATATGCCTCTTGTGATATATACACTGAATTCATTATCCTTTGACCGATATGAATGTGCATTCATCAGATTCATTATATTTTGATATATATGTTGTTTCCATTTGGAATTGATAATACACTTATAAATAATTGACTGAGACTGATCAGTAGTTTCCACCGGCAACGGAGAACATCTGATAAATAAACCAAGTAAGAAAATAATGTGATCTATAGTTTGAGCAATCCATATCGACCTCAGCGATAAGACCAGGGAAGATCTGTAACAAAGTAACAATGTCAGAGTTAAGCCAGCCATTGCGCTAAGATTGCTTTGTGAAACAGAGCCTTGGTCTTACGGTTCTGTGGACAATGGTAGTTTTATACCCGGAAGTAGAATGCCTATAAACATGTGATATATTCCAGGACCTACACCCGGAAGTAGAATGTACGTAAACCTACGATATATTGCAGGAGCTACACCCGGACGTAGAATGTATGTAAACCTGTATTATATCACAGGACCTACACTCGGACGTAGAAAGTGTGTAAACCTATGATATATTCCAGGACCTACACCCGGAAGTAAAATGTAAACCTGTGACATATTGCAGGACCTACACCCGGAAGTAGAATGCGTGTAAACCTATGGTATTTTGCAGGACCTACACACGGAAGTAGAATGTATGTAAACCTATGATATTTTGCAGGACCTGGGAGACAGAATCCAACGAGGCGTGTACCCCTTGTACCACACCCTATACGATGGCTACCGTTTTGTCAAGATGATGGATCCAGAATTCAGAGTTTGCCGAACTCTCGCCGCGCTGTATATCGAGCTGACACGAGATCTCGTTGATTCACTGATATTACCGTTTGACGTACGAGATTACGCTGCGGACATTCACAGATTCGTTAAAAATGTCTTTAAAGCCAATCGGGATGAATTTAAGCAGTGGAACATTGTGTCAGGTAAGTAAGGCGTGAGCTTGGTAAGCGTTACCTGTTTTCATCCAATGCTTAAACGTCAGTGACGTCCATGGCGTTAGGTCACATCACATTACGTCATGTTCTGTGAAGGTGAAGGTTATTTCGCAAAGATAACGCGATTTAGATATATATATGTCAACTTCTGTATTATGCGGTACACAACATTTCGGAGTATATCTTTATTCCTTTATCGGGTGAATGAATAGTATGAGGCAGAAAGTATGTATATATATATATATATATATATATATATATATATATATATATATATATATATATATTAGATATATATACATGTAAGAACAACAAAGGTAATAAGACTATAGAGATAGAGAACAATGGAAGCCAACAGATAACTGGCGTTGATGTGTGATTGACAAATGACAAATGGAAGCCATCACTAATTTAATTATGGCTGAATAGAAGTCAACATTTAACAGTTAAATATTGTTGATAGGTGATGAACAGAGGACAGCAAAAAGCAGCGTTTACTTTAAATTTCTATTTTGATGTTGTTTTTTATTCATTACACCGAATATCTTTAACTGATCACCCTAAAACACATTTTGGTTTTAGTATCTACTCAATGCTTCAGGAATCACACACCTGGAAGACCGCCTCCGTGGTGTAGTGGTTAGAGCGTCCGCCTGGAGAGCGGTCGGGTTCGATCCCCGACCGCGTCATACCAAAAGACGTTAAAATATGGCACTTGTTGGTCCCTGCCTGGCGCTCAGCATTAATGGGTACAACAAGGACTGGTCGGCTCGGAGTCAGTATAATGTGTCTGAGTGGGGTATTCATGCTTCACAGCGGCATGGTATCTCAGTGGGCTAGCACTATAAAACCAGCTTCAGTCTGGGCTAGTACAAGCAGCCGCACATACCCATACACACGCATGCACGTCGTCATATGAGCGAAATATTCTCAAGCACGACGTTAAACCCAATTTCACCTCGCCACCTCACACACCAGGAACCGTATAATCGAACTGTACACCTGTGCGTCTTTGTTTTCCCATGGAAACCAACCAATCATCATCAAAACACCAAATATCCGAGAGCGACCTCTATCAATACACTGTGATCTAACATTTATCTTACATTAATGATTGTCTGGAACAACAGTTGACATAGATCATGATCTTCATGTTGGGGACTAACTTGGTCTTCACTTGTGACAATATGTCTGATATACAACCAGTCAAGTTTCCGTTAGAATTTATCTGCAGCAACCCACGCCTGTCGACTAACGGGATCGGGTGGTCAGGCTTGCTGGTTTGATATATGCCATCGTATCCCGACTGCGTTGATCGATGTTTATGTCAGACTCGATTATTTACAAGCTGGAATAATGGTTATTTACAAGCTGGAATAACGGTTATTTACAAGCTGGAATAATGCTGCACGTAGCATTAAACAACAGTCAAGAGAGCATATGTTTTTGATATCGTCGGAATTGTACAATCGGCTCTGCTTTTAGCAGAGATTACTTGTGGATGTGGAAAGGGTTTGGTCGTTTTTATCATCGTTTTTGTGTTCCCAGATGCAATCCAATCAGCTGCGGACAACTACACAAGGGCGTCACGTGACTTCCATGCGAGGCTGCAGAAAATCGATATGACAAAGTAAGATAATAGAAATTGTTTGATGTTTCTATCTAAAGAGGTCTTTTCTTCTCCGTTGCACAAAGGTACCATAGAGCTTAGGTGATACTAACTAGCATACTTGACCATATGTTTACGACAGTCGTCTTCGTTGCGCTGAGGTGGCTGTGTGCCACGGGGATAACTGAATCAATGCATCGACCCGTGTCAATCGGGGAGGGTGCGGTGTCACGTGTTCCCAGCCTCCTCGGCAGTCAACGATAAACATGGTATACTTGGGACCCATTTTCCCCTCCCAACCCTAGTCAACAATAAACATGGTATGCGTTGGACCCATTCTCCCGTCCCACCCCTAGTCAACAATAAACATGGTATACTTGGGACCCATTCTCCCCTCCAACCCCTAGTCAACAATAAACATGGTATACTTGGTACCCATTCTCCCCTCCCACCTCTAGTCAATAATAAACATGGTATACTTGGTACCCATTCTCCCCTCCCACCTCTAGTCAACGATAAACATGGTATACTTGAGACCCATTCTCCCCTCCCACCCATAGTCAACAATAAACATGGTATACTTGGGACCCATTCTCCCCTCACACCCCTAGTCAACGATAAACATGGTATACTTTTGGACCCATTCTCCCCTCCCACCCTAGTCAACGATAAACATGGTATACTTGAGACCCATTCTCCCTCCCACCCCTAGTCAACAATAAACATGGTATACTTGAGACTCATTCTCCCCTCCCCACCCCTAGTCAACAATAAACATGGTATGCTTGGGGACCCATTCTCCTCCCACCCCTAGTCAACAATAAACATGGTATACTTGGGACCCATTCTCCCTCCCACCCCTAGTCAACGATAAACATGGTATACTTGAGACCCATTCTCCCTCCCACCCCTAGTCAACAATAAACATGGTATACTTGAGACCCATTCTCCCTCCCACCCTAGTCAACAATAAACATGGTATACTTCAGACCCATTCTCCCTCCCACTACCTAGTCAACAATAAACATGGTATACTTGGTACCCATTCTCCCTCCCACCTCTAGTCAACGATAAACATGGTATACTTGAGACCCATTCTCCCTCCCACCCATAGTCAACAATAAACATGGTATACTTGGGACCCATTTTCCCCTCACACCCCCTAGTCAACGATAAACATGGTATACTTTTTGGACCCATTCTCCCCTCACACCCCCTAGTCAACAATAAACATGGTATACTTGGGACCCATTCTCCCCCCTCCCACTGAAGTCAACGATAAACATGGTATACATGAGACCCATTCTCCCTCCCACCCCTAGTCAACAATAAACATGGTATACTTGGGACCCATTCTCCTCCCACTACCTGGTCAACAATAAACATGGTATACTTCAGGACCCATTCTCCCTCCACCCATAGTCAACAATAAACATGGTATACTTGGGACCCATTCTCCCTCACACCCCTAGTCAACAATAAACATGGTATACTTTTGGACCCATTCTCCCCTCCATCCCTAGTCAACAATTAACATGGTATAGTTGGGACCCATTCTCCCCCTCCCAACCCTAGTCAACGATAAACATGGTATACTTGAGACCCATTCTCCCCTCCCACCCCTAGTCAACAATAAACATGGTATATTTGGGACCCATTCTCCCCTCCCACTACCTAGTCAACAATAAACATGGTATACTTGAGACCCATTCTCCCCTCACAGCCCTAGTCAACAATAAACATGGTATACTTGGGACCCATTCTCCCTCCCACCCCTAGTCAACAATAAACATGGTATACTTTGGGACCCATTCTCCCCTCACAGCCCCAGTCAACAATAAACATGGTATACTTGGGACCCATTCTCCCTCACAGCCTCCAGTCAACAATAAACATGGTATACTTTGGGACCCATTCTCCCCTCAGCCCTCAGTCAAAAATAAACATGGTATACTTGAGACCCATTCTCCCTCCCACCCATAGTCAACAATAAACATGTTATAGTTGGGACCCATTCTCCCTCCCCCAACCCTAGTCAACAATAAACATGGTATACTTGGGACCCATTCTCCCTCCCAACCCTAGTCATCGATAAACATGGTATACTTGGGACCCATTCTCCCATCCCACCTCTAGTCAATAATAAACATGGTATACTTGGTACCCATTCTCCCCTCCCACCTCTAGTCAACGATAAACATGGGTATACTTGGGACCCATTCTCCCCTCCCACCCATAGTCAACAATAAACATGGTATACTTGGGACCCATTCTCCCTCTCCACCCCTAGTCATCGAAAACATGGTATACTTTTGGACCCATTCTCCCCTCCACCCCTAGTCAACGATAAACATGGTATACTTGAGACCCATTCTCCCCTCCCACCCTAGTCAACAATAAACATGGTATACTTGGGACCCATTCTCCCTCCCACTACCTAGTCAACAATAAACATGGTATACTTGGGACCCATTCTCCCCCCACCTCTAGTCAACGATAAACATGGTATACTTGGGACCCATTCTCCCTCCCACCCATAGTCAACAATAAACATGGTATGCTTGGGACCCATTTTCCCCCTCCACCTTAGTCAACGATAAACATGGTATACTTTTGGACCCATTCTCCCCTCCACCCCTAGTCAACAATAAACATGGTATACTTGGGACCCATTCTCCCCTCCACCTTCTAGTCAACGATAAACATGGTATACTTGAGACCCATTCTCCCTCCCCACCTCTAGTCAACAATAAACATGGTATACTTGGGACCCATTCTCCCCCTCCCACTACCTAGTCAACAATAAACATGGTATACTTCAGACCCATTCTCCCCTCCCTACCTAGTCAACAATAAACATGGTATACTTGGTACCCATTCTCCCTCTCCCACCTCTAGTCAACGATAAACATGGTATACTTGAGACCCATTCTCCCCTCCCACCCATAGTCAACAATAAACATGGTATACTTGGGACCCATTTTCCCTCACACCCCTAGTCAACGATAAACATGGTATACTTTTGGACCCATTCTCCCCTCACACCCTAGTCAACAATAAACATGGTATACTTGGGACCCATTCTCCCTCCCACCCTAGTCAACGATAAACATGGTATACTTCAGACCCATTCTCCCCTCCCACTACCTAGTCAACAATAAACATGGTATACTTCAGACCCATTCTCCCTCCCACCCATAGTCAACAATAAACATGGTAAACTTGGGACCCATT